GCCATGGTGATAATCCGCCTTAGATATTACAATGAATTTACTGACGGCAAACGATGGTTTGCTGAACTTTTCGTCTAAATTAGACCCAAAGGTAGTCGCTATAATTTTTGAAGAGCCAACATTCGTGGCTTGTGTGATGTGATGAATTACTTTATACGGCTTGGTCTTTTCTAAATATGCAGGTTAATGCGAATGATGCTTTGCGAGCTTTCTATACTAAAAGTTGTATGAGATTTTAGATTTATTTGGTACACCCCAGAAATTAAGCGGCTATTAAAGTTGAAAGAGTATTATAGGAAGAAGTGGAAGAGAACCAATAGTGCTTACTATTCACCGGAATATAAAAGATTGAGGTGTTTGACTAATCAGAAAATCTCTGATGCGGATACTTCCTTTACTATTAGTGCTGAACAATCGCTTAGTTCTGATCCCCGTAACTTTTAGAGTTATATAAGACAGAAAACAACGACCTCTCGACTTCCTGGCAAAATGATATGTGATAAGGCCATCTACACTAGTGGTGGAATGGATATTCGGCAACTATCCGGTATCCGGCCTATCCGGCCATTTATTAAAATCCGGCTGGATACCAGATAGTTATCAAATATCCGGGTTCAACCCCAATAGGACTATTTTCATTGAATACAATTTTATTTATATCAGGTTTGCATTAGCAACCTCATTGCAACAATCCCAACACGATATATAAAATCTCTTATTGCAATCTTTTCGAATTTTTCAATTTTCACCGATTAAGTTTTAAAAATTCGTATAAAATCCATTTCTTGGAATATGAATATGAAAATTTCCCAAAATGTTAATAAAAGCGTCCTCTTTCCAATGAACCAATCCGTTTTGAAAAATAAGTTTTAGTTTTTGAGAAAACAATATTTGAAGTTTTGACAAAAATTTCGATGTTGTAATTTTCATCGATAACTTTTAATATTGGCTATAACATTAATTTCTTGAAGAATCCTTGTGGAAATATCACCAATTATGAATTAAAGTGTCCTCTTTTTAATGCAACAAGCCGTTTTGAAAAATCCCTTTCAGTTCTTGAGAAATAAATTTTTGAAATGATCGACATTTTTCGAATTTTTCAATTTTCGCCGATTAAGTTTTAAAAATTCGTATAAAATCTATTTCTTGGAATATGAATATGAAAATTTCCCAGTGTTAATAAAAGTGTCCTCTTTCTAATGAACCAACCCGTTTTGAAAAATAACTTTTAGTTTTTGAGAAAACAATATTTGAAGTTTTGATAAAATTTTTGATGTTGCAATTTTCATCGATAACTTTCAAAATTCGCTATAAAATTCATTTCTTGAAGGATCCTTGTGGAAATATCACCAATTATTAATTAAAGTATCCTCTTTTTAATGCAAAAAGCCGTTTTGAAAAATCACTTTTAGTTCTTGAGAAATAAATTTTTGAAATAATCGACAATTTTTTCGAATTTTGCAATTTTCGCCGATTAAGTTTTAAAAATTCGTATAAAATCCATTTCTTGGAATATGAGTATGAAAATTTCCCAAAGTGTTAATAAAAGTGCCCTCTTTCCAACGAACCAACCCGTTTTGAAAAATAACTTTTAGTTTTTGAGAAAACAATATTTGAAGTTTTGGTGTTGTAATTTTCATCGATAATTACAAAATTTGCTATAAAATTAATTTCTTGAAGGATCCTTGTGGAAATATCGCCTATTATTAATTAAAGTATTCTCTTTTTAGAGTTGCTTCGTTAGTTAAATCAGCATCAAAAAAGTTCATTTTGTATCTTGGATCCAAATAAGTTGACATATCTTATCAGCTTTCTTATTAATTTCATTTTTATTCAAATATCGCAATAATGTGGCACTGTAGGATATCACTTCAGATATGCACCAGAAATTACAACCATAATGGCCAAAATCACTATCCGTTCCATCACTAATCTACGCTGATCCTGATAAAATATTATAGTTGATGCTTTTGCAGATCGATATTCTAGAGTATATACTGGTGTCTCTGCTTACACAATTGATGAACATTTTACGTATCCTCCAGTATTTATTGCCGATGTCACTGACGAATAGGTTCTTCATTTCTTAAAAAGGTAATCTAATAAATTTACTTCTTCCTCCATTCTTCATTCGTGATTGCTGTGCAGTTTTTGCAGTTCCGCTTCATTTAATAATTAACCTATCCTTAAGCACTTGCTCGTTTCCTAAACTTTAGAAGCGCTCACGTGTTGTTCCTGCATTCAAAAATGAAAGTTCTCATCACCAATGAAATAAATCATATTTTTGGATTATTTTTAAATCACCCTGTATATAAATAAATGTATGAGGTGTATTCGATAGATGTTTTTAGTATCGAGCCGTAATAAAATCTAAAATGGCTGCGGAATACGGGGAGGGTCCATATACTAGAGCCCCTCAGCATCGCAAGCTTATATCGCACCCCTCGCCCTATCTCTCACCCTTCCTCTTTCAGCAATCGCGACCCTCTGAGTCATTTTTGCGGGGGTGGATCTCGCAACGGAATCGCAAAACCACCCCACCACTTTTTCATTTTCAACGTTGACAGTCGCATTATTGATGGTCAATGTTAAATTGGATACTATATTTTTTAAAATACAGATATTTTTTTAAACACATAATTTAACTTAAGCCATTTTTATGGTTCGTAAAGTTCATCTTTTTCGAGGAATGTCCAAGCGCAAAATAAGGCATCACTTACGCTTTTTGATTTATCTTTTCTCGAGCGAAAAAGATCAGATGTCAGAAAAGTTTTTGTTAAAAAAAAATGCCGACAAAATCATTCGAGCAAATCCTCGGAACGTTTTTCTAATTAAATTTTCAAACTTGTTGGTTCATTTCCGGTTATAACTTTTACTTTTATAAATAACCGAGAAAATTTACTTCTTTTTGTTTCGAAATAATAAAAAAAAAACTTTAAAATAACTGTTACTTTCTTTCATTGCACAATTTTGCACGCAAACTACCCTAAAATCGAGACGTTAACCGGCTTTTTAAGAGAGAAATGAGAATAATAGAAACGAAAAGTGAGGTTCTACCGGGTACTAAATCTTCGTTCCGGACGTCTCGTGGTGGAAAAGAGCTCCCAATTTTGGGTCAGTTTTACTTTTTCTTTTTTTTTAGCAAAAGAATCTTTTTGACAATAGACCTATTGCGCAAATCTTTTTTAAAGGACCGGAGGGTCTTCCTTTTTTTAAACGAACCACTTTCACTTTGGAAAATAAATCAACCATAACGATGACTTCGAGTTATGCAAAAAACACAAAAAAAGAGAGATCATTACTCCTATTTGTTTTGTAAATTTTTTTTTGTAAAAAAAGAGAAATTCTGTTCTTAGAAGTTTCCAAACGAAAAGGTTTTTTGATTTATTTAGATTTTAGTTAATTTTTTTAACAATTTTTTGAATCACCCTGTATTTCGAATGAGTGGTTATTTTGAGTTATGTTCCTTTTGGGGGAAAACCCCGCTTTTTTGCCTGAAATCCCCATTGGGGAGAGAAACGAAAGATGTGTGTGTGTGTGGAAAAACGGAATAACAAATAAATCATATTTTTATGACCAAGCGACGTTTCGCTTTTATACTTTTATACTTTTTCGACGATTTATCGCCCTTATTTTAGATACGACTCGAAATCGTTAGCTTTTCGCTACGTTCGCGGAAAATCGGGGAAGGTTTTACGACCATCGATGGGGTTGGAAAACTTTTCTATTACCTTTCTTTTTAAGATTACATTTTTCGGGTTGCTCTTAAACTCTAGATTAATCGATTTTATTTTTTATTTATTTATCGATTAATTTTTTTTAACGAGTTTACATACGATTGCGTTTATTTAAATTTTAAATGCCATTATTCGATAAGAAAAGAATCTCCCTTTTTTAAGTCACGTACTAATCGACATCAAACAAATTCATTGTTTTAAATACACAACATTTTTAAGTTGTTTTTCGGGATATTAATTTGTTTGTTGATAAGAATGACGGAAATAACTGAGATAATTTTTATTATTTTTTGATAGGGATTAAAAAAAAACATTTTCGAATATTAGTTTCGTGAGAAACTTTTTTAAAAACGTTACATTGACCATGGGAAGGAGTTGTTTACAAAAGAAACTATTTTCTATCCCTCTTACGTTTCACCCTTTTTTTGCCAAAGGGCCGATTTACTTAACTGTCATCTTTTTTGCAAGAGCCATAGAAAAACGTAGGTAGAAACTGACCTAAAAAAGGCTTGACCGTAGCACCTGGCGTTACTAAAAGGCTTGTCCATTTATACATATTTTAACTAACAAAAATTCATCCAAGCAAAAAAATCTTTCGAGGAAAGAAAAAATCTTGTTTTCAATGAAATTGAATAGAAATAACAGCAGATGTATAAATAATAGATTCATAATTAATTTTGAAAATAAATAAATTAGTAACAAGAATAATTTCTTGCAAGTCATAACTTTGGACATGAATGAATTTTTTATTGGGACATTACCTACAAAACGCAAAGGTGAAATCAATCAAATTATTTTTGATATGGTTTAACCTTTTCAAAGTAAAGAAAAAAACCGACAAGTGTTTCGTTTCCCTATTTAATCATTAATTTGTGGTGTTTTGAATAAGCGAATTAAATCCTTCGACGTAGGCAACCAAAAATACACACATCAATAAATTTTAACTTTGTAAATATTAAATTTATTTAAAAATTTAATACAATTTAGTACATTTAAATTAGTTTTACACAAATTAATATCCATTAATAATTAATTCATTAATTAATTTAATTGAGTTAAAGATAAAATAAAATCATAAAGGTGCCATCTAACGGTTGTGTTTAGTATTTAACACATATAAACAAAATTTTTGGAATTATTTATTAAACAATTTTTTGTAGTATTTGTTTATATTGTATTATAAGTATTTATATGGTTATTCGTTATTTCTAAAATTGATTACATAACTTTAAAAATTTAAATTTAAATGAATCTAACGATCATTGTTATTCAATTGTTTTAACGAAAAATTTGGTATTGGAACCGTTTTCGGGTTTAGCCTTGTTTTAGCTAGTTTTATAAGGAAAAAGTGCTGAATTTGTAGATATTTTAATAGTTTCTATATACAAAACAAGGTGAGTCAATAATACAATATCCTATATCACTAATTAGAATAAATAAATCACATAATTTCGTTCATATACGAATTTTAGGTTAAGTTTATTTAACAATTTACATTTATTTAATAATAGTTATTGCATAATAATACGTTTTAATTTATTTCCTTATTTTTTAGATGTTTTTCGATGTCCAACTTCTTTGCTACCAATCCGATGGTTTGTTTTGGATGGCTTGGGTCGCCGGAATATTCGGAACCAAATCTTCCCGTACTTCTGCTTTATTAAAACTCGAAGATAGGCATGTCAAATCGGCGAGTGTAGCACGATTATGCGATTCACTACAAAAGTATTTGTCGAACGGGTCATCTCAAGTCAATGAGCGGATGTCGTTGAGACTTAGTGCGATCCTAACGCTGGGAATCATTAGAATTCATAGCAGAAAAATCGATTTATATCAATGTAAATTAAAAAAAATTAATTAAATCAATTTTTATACTTATTCAATTATGTTTCTAATCATTTCAGATGCAATAAATAGGATTTTCGACAAGATTCAAAGACCATTAATAGCTGGGTAAATGCACATTAATACTTTTAATTATATTTATTATATTCTATAATTTTTAGATTGATGGAAAAGAGTAAACCTGGTTTAAAAGGTAATTTAATAAAATGAATAAAAAGAACTACAACACTATCACAAGTAGTGCTCAACTTGATAACAAATACATGAAAAGATGTCAACTAAGTTGTTTTTATCAAATTCAGGTGTAGAAGGCTTCATCTTCTCTATTGATGTTATTTAAGTCGATGAATCTCTCTATCTCTTGTCATCCTTTGGGTCTGGTCCTTACTATTATTATTATTACTGCCAGGCTGAGGGGAACGGCCCCTCATCACAGCGACCTATACAATCTATTGTAACTTTAGTCCTTCAAAAGTTTAGGGCAAATGTAGATCCTTAATGAACCTTAGTCTTGCTCTTTTATGTCGGTAGGTGTCAAAAGAGCTTTACTGAAAATTTTGTGTCTTAGGCGACACAGTGTATGTTCAGCCGGTTCTGACTCGTCGTTGCAAACTTGACAAGTTTGATCCTCAGCTTGTCTAATATGGAAGAGTTGATATTTTAGGGGCGCATGGTCGGTCAGGAATCCTGAGAGCGTCCTTAGATCCTCTTTGCTGAGGAATCAAACCTCATCATACTCTTATCATACTCTTTGCTTGTCTGTGACCTGGAAGTTCTTTCTGTCATAGGGCTACCTTTAAACCCTCCCAACCGGGTTGGGGTCCAATAAAGGGCGTTTTCGCTGCCTCTTTGCACCTAGCCAGTTCTGGACTTTTTCCTCACCTTATCTATGTAAGAGTTCCAGTTTAATTTACTGTCTAGTATTACCCCTAGGTATTAGTGACAGGATTAGTGACAAGCGGAGGTACCATGTATGCTCGAGTTTGGAATACCTGACTTTATACTCTTCTAACCATGACTCACTGTCGACTGTTGGATCTTATTCAGTTTGACATCCCTCTCATGATGAACAAATCCATCAAAGTCGTGCTCACTAATGACTTTGAGTACTCATTTCATAATGGGGATTCAGCCTTCTCCTTGGTTACTCTGTTAATTTTGCTTTTATAATTAATAAGCATTTATTGCTTTTGATAATTACAATTTTCCCCTTAATACATCCTAATATAATATATGTCATTAGTATATTATTTTCACCCTCCACCCTCTTCCTCCATTTCCATACCCTCGGCCCAATCCTCCCCTCATCCATCCCTTTGTCTCCTCACCCCCACAACCATTCTCATCCATCGTTTCCCCTCTCCCCCCTCTCCTAAGATCTGCCCTCGGTCCAACTCCTCCTCCCTCAACTCACTGCACCCGTTCTACATATGTTCCAACGTTTCCCATTCCTCCCTGCATAGCCTACACCACCTCTCCTCATCGGCCATCCAGTATCTGTTCGCTCTCTCCTCGTTTCCACAACTGAACCTAGCTTCCTCATCTCCTTCCAATAACAAGTATCTAGGCAGCCCCTCCGTAATTATGTCCCTGTACCTTTCGTTATACCTCCCCTCTTTTATTTGTGTCCTTCTTTCCTGTCTCTGCACATCTCGGTCCCTATCTCTCAACTCCCTCCACATCTCCCTACCCACCCTTCGTCTACTATTTATCTCAGTTACCGAGTAGCCCGCTCGTCTACAATAGTTGTCTCTGTCTCCTTTCCCATATTTGATCTTTCCCTCTCTAATTTCCCACCAACACTCCCCCAAGATCCCGCAGTTTGGCCTCCCTTCTATTCTTTCTTCATATTTCACTGCTCTCCTGCCCCCCTCCACTCTGACTTTATCCACCTTTACCTCTTCCCTCACTATATACCCCGGTGTTTCTCTCGCCACCCCAAGCACCCATCTCCAGTATCTAGCTTGCACGTCCTCCAGTATTTCCTGCTCTCTCCATCCCCATACCTCTGCTCCATACATCATCACACTGCTAACCAGACCTTCAAACATAATCTTCCTCGCTACCACATTCCTTCCAAAGACTCTCTTCCCCCAACCCCATACATGTCCCATCACCTTATTCGCCTTTTTTGCCATAGCTATAACATGCGACCCCTCCCTGTTGTCCTCCCTGAACACATACCCCAAGTAAGTATACTCCCTAACCTCCTCGATCTCTTTTCCTTCCCATCTCCAGTTTTCTGTTCTTTTTCTCCCACCCTTACAAAACTTCATCATCCTTGTCTTCCCCACATTCACTTCCAGCCCCTTCCCCCTAAAATATCTTTCCAATGTCTTTATCATATCTTTCATCTCCGCCGCTTCTCTCGCCATGACCACGATGTCATCCGCGTATGCTAACATATGCACCTTTCTACCTCCCACCACCAACCCTCCCATTTGCCCCTTCCCCAATCTATCCTCCAGGTCCGCCGTATACAGTGCAAACAGACTTGGGCTCAGCGGACATCCCTGCCTCAGTCCCTTTGTTGTCCAAAACACGTCGCTCAGCTTATCTCCCACTTTTATCCTAGCCATAGTCTCCATGTATATTTCCTTCACTCTCGCAATAGGTGTTCCGTGATCCCCCTCCTCCCCATCTCCTCCCACAACTTTCCCCTATCCACCTTATCAAAAGCCGCCTTCAAATCTATAAACAGGGCGTACAATTTCCCTCCCTTCTTATCCAGCTCTCTATCTGCCAGATGCTTCAACACGTACACGTTGTCGATTGCTCCCCTTCCCTTCCGAAAGCCTGCCTGCCCATCCGGCAAAATTCCCCCCAACTCCATCTCCTCCTCCAGTCTTCCCAGCAGTATCTTCGTGTATACCTTGTATGCCGAGTCTAGTAGGTTAATTCCTCTGTAGCTTTCTACCCTTCCCTTATTACCCTTTTTATATACTGGGCAAATTACCCCCACTTTCCATCCCTCCGGAATCCCCCCTCTCTCCATACGCTATTCATCCCCTCCAACAACTTCACTCTCACCACCCTTGATGCTTCCAACCATGCCTCGTTCTGGATGCCATCTTCCCCTGGCGCCTTTCCCTTCTTCAATCCCCTAAGCACTGCTTCCATCTCCTCTTCTGCTATCTCCTCTCCCCTATCTCCCTCATAGCCTCCCAAACCCGTTAGCCTCGTTTCAACCCCTCCCAATAATCCCATAAAGTAACTCTTCCATTCTGTCATATGTATTTCGCTGGTTATCCTCTCCCTACCCTTCTTTCTCCTTTTCAGATACCTCCAGACCTCCCCTTCCCTTGTTATCCCTCTAATCTCTGCCGCTTTCTTCTCCCTCAGTTCTGTTTTCTTTCTACTGCATAACTCTCTGTATCCTCTCCTGGCCTCCCTATATCTATCCACCCCTATCTTCCCCCGTCTCCACTGCCTCAACCTCCTTCTCGCCTCTCTCTTCGCCTTCTTGCACTCGTTCCTCCCAGTCGTTCCTCCCTACTCTACCCCCCCTACGTACACACTCCCTTTTCAGTGTTGCCTCCCGCACTACCTGGATAAGTTCTTCCAAACCATTGATCTCTTGTATCTTCTGTTGCCAAGTGTCTAGGTTTCCCCTGTAGAATGCTACCCCTTCTACCGCACCCCCCCCTTACCTCCACCTCCAATTGTGTTGGTGATAATTTTGCTTTTATAGTTGTTGCATTATCTTTCTTTCTTTTTTGTAGATAAGAAAAAACGAGCCGGTAAAAAAGCTGTTGCGGAGCTTTTACCTGAAATCGATGGTGACATTCAACCTGTCGTAATACCTGAATATGACGCAATCGTTGAAGGTGGACTGGCTGCTCTTGAAAACATTCACGTCGCATCAGTTGAACAAATTACAATGCCAGAAGATGTACCAACGAGAGATACAGAGGAACTTGAAAATATGGTGAAAATAACCTATCTTTAAATCAAAATAATTTCTTTAATTTATTTTTTTCACGATTAATTTTAGGGTTTTGGTGATGAGATCGATAAGGTAGCTCAATTAATAATAACATCAACTGATTTTCGACAACCCGGCGGTTTTGAAAAAGCTATCGCTGATATCGAAGCTGCTATGTAAGTATAAAATTTAATTATTTCTTTATTTAAAGACGCGAGAACAGATAATAAATTAATTATTTTACAGGGTACCATTTTCCTTTTATTATACACAGTTGTTTTTTACTTTAATATCCAATCCCAACCTTTCGCATATTTTAGCCCTACTTCCCATCAAGAACCTTTATCACCTCCTGAAAAAAGTTCAGAAGCTGATGCAAGGAAAAGAAAGCGAACAACGTCTGATGAAATCGAAATAAGTAAACGACAAAGACTTGAGGAAGCACCTTCTGTACCAGTTGCTAACCTTCAAGAAGAACTGGAAGTTCCAATTGAAACTCCACCTCAGGATGTTGTTTCAAAAAGAGGGAAAAAAAAATATTTACTTGACGTAGTTGAAAAGAAATTGGTTCCAAAAAATAAACAATGGGTTAATGAAATAATTTATGCTTCAAGCTTTTTTAAATTGAATCCACCCTTAAATGTGGGTAAAGATTTCGATTTGTATGAATGTTGTAATGATGATATATTGGAAGTATATAAAATTCGTCCTATAGCAAAAAGACAAAGTCCTTCAGTAATACAAGAAGATATGCGAGCAGTTGATTCTAAGTATTAATTAAGAATTAATTATTTATTTAAAAATTATTATAATTATTATTTTAGTGTCGCCAGTGGTCAACTATCAACTCAACTTGAACAACATAGAGGATCATCAACAGTATCTCCTCAAGTAGGTACTCCTTCTTTACCTCCAAGAACTCCTCAAGAATCTTTAATTCAACCCGTTGCGTTACAATATTTGGATAAAGCTGGTGCTCATCCAGTTCATTCGACACCAATCGTTCCGGCACGACCTGCATTTACTCCAAGAGAACAGCCTATAATTGAAGAAGAAGTTGAAATTTCTGCAATTCATTTGCCAAGAGATGAAGCAGAAGATGAAGATGTTAGCAGTAGAGTTCAATCTCAACAAAATAGGATTGTTGAAATTGTAAAAAATTGGAATTTTGAAGAATCAATTTTAACCATTGATGATCTTTGCCCAATCCCGATTAACAGACGTAACATAGGTGTTACTTTTATTCATCTAACGGGTTTGTTAATTAATTTAAATTACATTTCTTATTATTCATGATCACCTAATAATATTTTTTTTCTTTTTAGTCTTATGCAAACGCGAATTAGTAGACTTGGAACATAAACATGATTCCTTGGAGTTAGAAAAGATTTTACCTGGACCAAAATTATTGTCATTAAATTTTTAATTTAATTAATGTTTGGAGTTCTATTTAATTTCATTAGGTTTAATATGAAAAAGAAGAATGTTGAGTATAGTATTGCCATAACTATTAGTATGAATATGTTATTATAAAACTGATTTGATATTGATACTATTTAGTTTTACTATGAGCTAAATTTCTGTTATAAAATTTTTAATGTAAGAGTTCTGTTTAGTTTTCTAAGATTTAAATACAAAAAGACAAATATTGACCTGTAGTAGTGTCATAACTGTTCAATATAATATAACTTTTCAAGATAAAGGGAATTTTATGTTTCTTTATGGCAATTACAACCGAACCCAATCTCTAGAACCCAATAATTGTGTATATCAAAAAGTCAATAATTTGTGTCATAAAATTATATACTCTGTTTTTAAACCAGGAGGAGTAAACGCGAAAGTCAGATTTACACTAGGAAAAATCACCAGAAAATACCACTAGATATTTTGGCGGTAAATTTAAATTAATAATTATTATTATTTATTTATTTACTTATTATTGTATTTATTTTCGTTTGTTATCGTCAACACTAAACATACAAATTAACATTGAAGTTATGAGTGTATTTATTTCAAAATATAATAAAGAAGGGTTTAAGAACACAAAATTTACAATAATGACACGAAACTGTCGAATTGTCAATAACCTAACCTTCAAATTCAAAATTAAAATTGCCTGTGTGTGAACCTTCCTCGCATTCAACCAATCACGTGCAAGGTCAATCTGGTGACAAATTTAAAATACTCCTCCTGGTTTAAAAACAGAGTATAATTGCCAAAGAAAACTTCAAGGTATAATTAATGTTTGTAAACAAAACTAACCTTACCT